GGTCAGATGCATCTCCACCATACATAACTTTTACTTATACATGGATATTTAATGGGAACGTTCAAGGCCAGGCTGGATGGGTCTTTAAGAAAGGTGTCCCCAGGGGGATTGGAATTAGATGAAATTAGATGAAAGGACCTTACAGATCCTTTCCAACCCAAAACTGTTTTATGATTGCATCAGTCTGTGAATTCCAAAGTTTCTTAAATGACACTTTGGTTATTGCCAGCATATGGATTGAATGCACCTAAAAACTCTGATTTTCTGATACTCAGGTGTAGTTTTGTCAAAACAAGTCTATGTTACCTGCATGGGTGTGACAGAATATTGGAAGCCTATTCCTATAGTTATACTGGCCTCTCCTGAGGGCTGCTGGGTGGTGGCTGCCAATGCCAGTGCTCTGTGAAGCAGCTTGGTGTCATGGGACTGAGGTCATGCATGAGAATTCTGATTTAATCTGCAGGTATTTGTTCTGTATTTTTGCAAAGCAATTAAAAATTTTAGCAAAACTCAGGGTTAGACACCATTTCTCCCCTCCGAAATTTGTGGTTTTTGTTAAATAGTTTATCATTATTCCTAATTATCTAGTAATGGGCTGACAATTTCTTATGTGTGTTCAAAGCTGTATGAAGAAATCCTCCTTTTACTCATTATGCATTGATAGATTTGCATTTTAGTTTTACATATGTGTGCTTCTATAGCATTGAAAGTCTACCATAGGCTTACATCAGAATCATTAATTGTCTGATTAGACTAATTACTTATTCTGTTCAGCAGAGATGGTTATTCAGTCTTAATCCAAATAACTGTTGTAGTGAAATATCCATGTCTCTTGCTGACAAATGGACCGAAGCTTCCTCACTTTTCCTGCATGGTTTTATGACCACATCTATTGCACTATCCTTATGAAAATGCCTGCAATTTATTTTCATCTAGACACTTAATGCTCTCTTGCAAACACATGGTAGAACATGGAAGAAAAGTGAGATCTGTGTATTTTGAGGTAGAATCAATCATGTCATATTAACCATATAAATGTTAGGGGTCTTGTCTAAGCCAGTCATGAAGCCAGCTAAGTGAGACAGGATTGCTCAGACAATCCTTCATTTATCTTAATTGTCTATTTTAGGATTGAATGAATCTGGAATTGATTGTCTCTCTCTATCACTTATAGAAAGAAATTAGAAGCCTAATTTAGACTAAGAGCCTAAGTTTTCTGTGACTAAATGTAGATAAAATGAATCCCAGCCCTGTGGTTCTCTATTGTAAATGGATACTCTCTAGATTACATAGTTCAAAAAGTGAATGATTACTTAGAGCTCTCCCACCAACACCAAAATTACTTAGAATTTCAGAATAATCAAATGAATGAATATTTGTATTCTTATATCCACACAGAAGACTGGAGGAGTGACATGAGATCATCAATAATTGGTTTATGCAGGGAAAAAAAAAAAAACAACAAACATGCGCAAAAATAACTGCAATTCCTTACCCTTGTTTGCCTATGAACTGTCTGAGGCTCAGGGAGCATAATTTGGGATTTTCATGGTATGTATGCACAAGGAGTTTGCTTCAAGGTTGTATCTGCAAACAGAAATTCAGTATATCCTAACTGTAACCCCATAGATTTCTTAATAAAAATGTTTTTTATGTATGGGTAATTAAGTTATGTATGGGTAATTAACCTATGCTGTGGTGCTGGTGCTGCAATAATACAGTTTTTGAAGCAGAACTAGTACCAGGGCATGACTGACACATCATTTAAAGTTGCTGCTGTATTTTTGCCTTTTCAACAGACCCTTGCATGTGGTATATGCCTCTAAAATATTCTTTGTGATTTGTTATATATTGTGTGTTTACTCCTGCTAGCTGTTTTTTTCCTCATCATTGTAATGGTTCAAGTACAACTTTCTCTATTTTCACCTTCTTCATAACACATTTTTAATGTGGCTGCTATAAGCAATTTGTGTGTCATCATTATGTAAATTAAATCTTCTTTAGTTTTAACATAGACTGTTTTAGAAATTGTTAATTTAATGGGAGAATATGTTTTCCCTCATTCCTGGTAAACATCAGTATTTATTCTTGCAGAAAGGCATAAAAAAGGTGACAATTTTTTTTTTATATCTCCATAAAGCTTTTATGTATGAATAGACAGGATGCAAATCACAACTATCACTATATGTGAGAATAAAGAATGCAGTGCAGAAGTGAAAGAAAAGGTGAGGTGCTGAGAATTCACATCTTTTCTCTGAGTTACATTTAATTATAAAAACAATCAAGAGGTACTTCAGAAACCATTCTTTCCATGGACTTACTGGACATTCACCTAAATAAATTCTTTACAATCTGACAGTGGAAGCTAATTTTCCACTTAAAAGAATTTCTTTTTTTTTTGGCCTCAATTATGTTCATAATAATTCCAAAAAGTCAGATACAGAAAACACTGTTTGGACATTTAACCACTTCTTAGGTAACAGCACTACTCCATAAAACCTTATATGTCTTTTTTTTTTTTCCCTATTTTTGAATACTCCATGCTTTTTTGGGAAATATTTCACAACATAAACCAGCTGGCATGGAATCATTAGGGTTTAATAAGACCTCCAAGATCCAGTCCAACATTCAGCTGAATACCACTGTGTTCTCTAAAACATATCACAAAGTTCCACATCCACTCCTTTTTTGCATAATTCCAGGGATGGCGATTCCACCACTCCCTTGGGCAGCCTATTCCAAACTTGACCACTCTTTTCAGTGAGGAAATTTTCCCTTATATCCAGGCTGAGCCTACCCTGGTGCAACTTGGGACTATCTCCCCTTGTCCTAGTTGCTTGGGAGAAGAGGCCAAACCCCATCTTGACACAGCCACCTTTCAGGAAGTTGTAGAAGGCAATAAATACATCTAAACTATTTATTTTTCTTAATTTTTGAATAGGTTGAATATTTTCTGCCTTTCATGTTTCCATTCACAGCTGTTCTGTTGTATTTGATGGTTCTCCCCTCTGTTTGATGCTATTCCTACCCCATTATTTTCAATGTATGGTAAGCCATGCTGAAAATAAGTTGCAGTTTTCATTGTAAATAGCTGTGTAGTGGAGGTAAATATTGAGAGAATTGCTTGGTGTGAGTTGCAGAAAAAAATCAGACTAATAATGACACACATCCACAACCATCTCTTGAGCAGATGTATCTTCAGAGCAGGTTTTGAAATCAAAACATAATAGATAGCAGGAATAAACCAAACAGAAATATATCAAATTCCTCAGACTGGTGTCCTTAAATTTATTGCCTCTGATCCTGATAAGAATAAGCCATCACTAGTAATAATTAAATAAAATTTATCTCTAAGGTTGATATGGAGCTAGAAAAAAACCCAAATTATATACACTGATTTGTTATGTTTATCTGTCTGTTTTTATGATGTGATCAGCTTGTTTGAAGCAAAGGATGTGTAAAAAGCTTGGAAACAGACAGTTTAAATAGATATTTATTTGACATTCTTATCCCACAGAGCCTCCTACTAGAAATGCAATCTAATTCATTAAAGTTCTGAATCACAGAAGCATAAAATGATGTTGGAATAAAATCCCATAATACTTACTAGTGTTTGTAAATGAGTAATGCTGTTAGGAATACTTCCTGTCATTATCTGCCTGTGAAGGAGACTGAGTGGGATTTTTTTCAGATAAAGTAATAAGCCTCTCCACACAGACTACAGTCTGATGCAGTGAGTGGTATTAAAGGAAAACAGAGCTGAGATTACATTCTGTGGAGTGCCATTTTTTACTGTTGTCTCTATTTAAAGAATCATAATGGCTTTAGTGACAGTTTCTTAAACCCCTGTATGTAGAACATTTCATCTTCTCATATAAAAGCCTTTATACTCTGAAATAATAGGTTTGAAAAAGCTTATTTGTCAATTGTATTTACAAATAATTGGCATTTTAGTCCAATAACATTTACCATCTTCACTACTCTCATTAAAGTTTTTCAGTTAATTTAAATATTTCAGGGCAGCTTAAAGCCATGTTTAATTTAGCTGTAACTTCTCATCTGACACATCAGTTTTGGTGAAGCTGATCAGTTTTTGAAAAGATCATCCAAAAATACAGGGAAATGGCTTGATTCTGTCTTCAGTTTGAGCACTGCTAATGCACTAATGCCCACTAAATTAATGGACTTTTATTTTAATAATTACATGAAAAGGGAATAGACCCGGTACCTTTGCATATACCCAATAGTCTAGGCATGTCTTACTTGGTTACTATAAATATTTATTTTTATTGGTCAGAATTGAATTTTAACCAAATATGCCATATTTCAGAAAAGAGTTAAACATCTTGATTTCATGTTTTCTTATCACTGAATGTATTACAATATTTTTAGAGTATCCTGGCTCATAACTTATGGCAAAATTCTATCTACAATAAAATATTACTTTCCTAAAGAACCTACAGTTTAGGTATTGTTTATTGTTCTCAAAACGAGGACTTATGTCTTCAACTGTTACAGCCACTCTTTTATGAACTTTTGCATCAGTTCAGTGGCTTTCATTTCACAAGAACGAGACCAAAAACATTTTAAACATATTTAAATATCTTGTTCAATTTGCCTGATAAATAAAAGCTAAAGAGTAGAAAATTGTTCAAGATATCTGACTTGCTGTATTGTATGATTTTAGGAAATTTGCCAATTATCATGATAATATATCGTAGAAATATAAAAAAAAAAAATTGTGTTGTTTTCTAATAGTTTAAAAAATTCCAGCTTGCATGTCATAAAGGCATCTACAGAAAATATAAGACTACAAAAGCATGAATTTCTGCACTTATACTTGCTCTGAGATGCTCTTCTGGTGTAAATCTGTGCCATCACAGAGAACTTGAGAAGCTGCACTGATGTGTTGGAGGTGACTCCAGTGACACCCTCCCCTGACTCCTACATTGCTGAACAAAGCAACTGAGACAAATCCTTTTGCTTTCTCTTTTCCCCAGGCCCCAGCTGCCATTAAGACTGGCATGAAACCATTACTGACAGATTGGTAAGTCTTTTTGGTTTAAATTATGATAGTTTATATTTTCAACTTGTTTTGTTTGAATATTTTTCTTGGATTATTAAGACCATCACGACATGCAGTTTAATTCAAACAATTATTTGATTTGTTGTAATAAAGGCAACACTTTCAATTAGGGTTTCAAAAACAAATGTTTGCCATTGCAAATGGGTGTTCATATTGAAGGAAAGTGATTTAGCTTTTACAATTTTCTTTTGCAACATAACTTGGTTTTAAGTCAACTGAACAAGTCTCTGAACACGTTGGAGATTAGGCAACAGATTTTCTCACTGGTGGAGTTCATCTGTCATTCCTAAAACTCCTACTCTGTGGTGGCAGAAGTATATATGATTTAAGTGGTATGGTACATACACAGAACATCAAATCTGGTGTGTTTTGGAGAAATTGTCAAGGCATAAGGGTGTTTTTCAGGAGCAGGTTCTCTTCCATCCCAGTCAAAGAAAAGCTTCTACCAGCATCTGTGGTAGCTGGGTCATTCTGCTTTAAAGTTGACACAAAAAGTTCCTGAGTGTTTATGCAGTTATTTGTTATACACAAAATATTCATGTAAATTCAAATAAAAATTTTTCAAGTGGAGTTAGCCCTGAAGGATTTAGCCATTTATCTCCATACAGTTTCTACTCTTATGTTGTATGTTGATGTAATGAAAAATAGACTATTGAATTGGTATTTTATTATTTGACAGAAGCAACCTTTAAAACACTTAGCTAATACCATATCTAATAATAAATGAGAGTCCTCAAATATATGAATCCAATTATTTATGCAGGTCAAGATAAAATACAGTATGTTACCAATCCATGGTAGAAAACTAGTTATTTTAAGCTGCTCTTGTACCTATAGCTTAAGATGTCTGTCATTTTAAGGCATTAATTAAAAAAAAAAAAAAAGATTAAACATGCTCTGTAAGGAGAATCCACCAAATCAGCTTGCCAATGAGTTCTTGATAAAATATTTGCATCAAAAAGTGTTATGTGATTTTCCTGTGAAAAATATACTCTCTAGTAAATAGATTTTATAGAAGCAAAACAGATGCAACATGTTTTATAAAAATATTGGATCTAGTTCTATGAAATTGTCACAATTAGGGAGCATCTTTATTTGAAATTTTGTTTTATTGACTATTTTAGAGCTCTTTTAGTAGTGAAATGATTGGTGAAGCAAGTCAACCAAATCAACAGAATAAAATTATATGCATGTTAAAAAATAAACTAAGGTGAAAAGGAAAGTAAAACAGGTGTCTCTACTAATGCACTCAGAAATGCCATCAGGAAGATGCTCATTTTCTCATTTTTTCCATTAAGTTTTGCATCTCTGCAGAAGAAGATGGCAATCTTAAACTCATCTTGAGGAAAGATTATGTTTATATGAAAATATTAAATTTTAACAAGAATGGGTCCTCCTCGTGTATTTTTATGTGTTGTCTTTCTGTTTTTGTAAAAGCAATCATTATGACTGAGCTGTATCACAGAGTTGAATAGAATTTTTTGTCTTACGCTGTGTACAGTCCTAGAGCAGGCAAGCATTTTCCCTTGTGGCAGTCCCAGGTGAGCAGAATCCTATTTTCTATGCTGAGGAGGCAGCTGTAGGAAATGTCACAGTTCATTTTGGGGAAATCACACCACTGACCAGAAATCAAATCAAGCAGCGAATAAATATAGTGTTATTGGTTTGTTCTCTGCCTCTCCAGACTACACTGTGTTCACCTTCACTTTATAGGCAGGTATTGGGTCCCAGTGCAGCTGTGGTACCTATGTATGAAGAAGCTGGAAAACAGCTTTTGAAAGACTTTAGGAAGGAACAGAAAACATTGGCAGAATAAGAAAGTTCCTTTGCAAAAATTGTTGTTTATGTAAGAACATTACACCTTACTCTTGTTGAACAACTTTTAGGACCTGCTTAAGAAGGTGTCCAAAACTAGATGCTACAGATCATTTCCCCTAACATTGTTTTCATCCAGCATAATTTAGAGAAATCTCAGGCAGAGCATCATCCTGGTTCTACAACCTCTCCTTGCCAAACTAGATTCTATGATCCATCTGTGTAACTGAACTAGAAAGGAGCTAGACTGTGTCCTATACTTTGTCGTGCATTGTATGCCTCCAAGAAACATCCACCATGGTCTGAGAAATATCATAAACCACAGGCAACTGTAATCTGGAGGCATGGTTGAAATTACCCTGTAATTTCCGCATTAATACAGAAAATAATTCAGCTTCATGGAGAAGTGTGCTGTGCAGTTTGGCCTCAGTAGTGACAGGCAGCCATTGATCAATTGTTTAAGTGATGGAGATGTACCCATAGGTACATTTAGATAAAGATTCAGAGCCTGATTCAAGCCCTTGCTGTTTTGAACATTTCTGTTACAGCTCTGCTCAAATAGTTTTAATGGTATAATTTTGATAAAAATTTTTGTAGGGCTCTGCAATAATTTTGGTGCAACTAGGTAACCATTTCAGATTTTATCTCATTAATTTTTGTAGAGTTGCTGTATGCTACTGCTCATGTCAGTTCTTGAAGCAGAAAAAGGCTATTCCATATGATAAATTAAGCCTTGATTCATTTTGACTAACATGGAAATCTGAAGTGAAGAGTAAGCTCATTTCTTAGGTAGTTTTAGCTACTTAGCTTAGCCTAGTAAAAAAAACATCTCCAGAGGACAATTCATTGTCATACTTCTGACATGAATGACACTGGAGTTGTCTCTCACGCCTCACTGGCATTCAGATAAATAGAATAATCCTGAATACTTCAACTAGAATTGCTCCTAAACTTGACATGGTGACCTGCTGTTTTTAAGTGCATCAGTATATTCATAAATACTTTCTGTTTCTTATTTTCTATTTGAACATTATTAGCTTTGTTCACCTTTTTTAAGGCATTTGTAAGTTCATGTTGGAACAGAAACTTGTGTATTGTCTCAAAATGGATTGATTTTCAAAAATTATTTCATCATTTTGTGTAAAGGGTCAGTGACTGTGTTTTCTTCAGATGAGTTAACAACTGGAAAGCACTTTTTTGATATCATACTGTAGTAATTCACCATATGCAATGTGAAGAAAAGAAAAAAAAAGTTTTCAAAACATCACTGATATAATTTCAGTGTACAATTTTAGAAAATATTTACATATCAAGAAAACATTAAATTTGCAACTGTTTTTACTGGGAGACTTCGGATTTTATAGCCTTCTGTGATATTTTTCAGAAACTGATGTGATCATGATGAGTCCTAGTTTTTCTGTATTAACCTTGGACCATCCAAGTCCAGTGTTCTGTTTTTAAATTATTTTATCCGCTAAAGTATTTTCTACATGTCTATCTCTTATTAACATTTGCCAATCTACAAAAACTAGTGGAAAAAGAGTAGTTGTTATGAGTGTCTGACCTAAAAAGTGTGGCTGATGAATGCTGAGTCTTATCCATGAAAAGAAGTAGCAAGCATTGATCAATATACATTAAATATTGTTTCCAGTGCAAAATGGAATAATATATTTTGTAAAAGAGACAATACCAGCTTTATCTGGTGCACTTATTACAATAATTTCAAAAAAGCAAGAAGCAAGGATAGTTGATGTGCAGATGCAAGCTGCATTTGGATAATATGATCATTTACTAAAATTTCATAGTCATTTTTGGGGCAGAGCTCTTTGAGGTAGTGTCTCTGTCCCAGCTTTCTAGGGCTGAAATCATTATAAAGGCCCAAGGTATGTCCTTTGCACCTTATTTTGACAGGGTAGATGAGTATGATATTTGAGGTAAATGCTCCTCAGATCTAAATCATTATTTCTCTGCTTCTCTCTAGATATCTTGAAAGATCAGGGATTTTGAAAGACAGCTGTGGTCTTTCTAAATATTGTGATATCAGAAAAGTTCTCTGGCTGAATGTCAGCCTAGGTGATTGATATTTGTCCAAAATCTGTTTTCATTTAAAAAAAGTTAAGTTCCCAGTGTGTTTTAAAAATGCCTTCCTTTTCTGTAAAACTTAAATTGTAAATATAAATAATATTTATGAGTTTAGGATCTAGTCGAGAGATTGTGCTTGGAAATCCTGGTTGGCCCTTGGGGTGTTTTTTTTGTGGCAAGTTGTTTTTTATATGGAAATGTATCTTTTTCTTTTTTCCCCCATCTCAGCAGATTGCTTAGGAAACCTAAATTAGGAGTAGAGAATATTGTGTTACAGCAATCCTATTTTAATGTAAGGTCTTAGTATCTCATTAAGTAATAAGTTCTCCAGAGGAGACAACCAGTGGGAACTCAAAGACAAAATTACTTGCCTGATATTAATAGGATAGAGACCAGAAGATGCTCAAAACTCCTGAGTCCTAGTCCCAGCTGCTGCTGCCTTTCATGCTGTTTCACTTTTAGATGCACAACCAGGAATCTTCATGACTTGTACCTCTAATACATTGGGGAATGATTGGTAAAACAGGCAACAGATTTAGGAGCAGCCACGAACTGAAAAGCAAACAATTTTATTATGGATGTCTTTTGGATATACAACAGGAGGTAGGCTTCCACACAATGAGGTTTTAAATAAAATTTGAAATCATCTGCAAGTCACCATTCTTCATATACAGTTAATGGGAACAGTTTATGATAAGGCACAATGACACAGCATGAGGGATGCTGCCTAAGGTAGCAACAAGCCTTGAGATGCTCAAGTAACAAGGTAATTGTGGTGCAGCTCATACAGTGCTTGTGATGACAAATCCTAATCTGCTTTCATTGTCCTGTGCTATGAAAGAACAAAGCTACATTGAAATGATAGACCAACAAGCCATTTTGATTATAAGGTTCATGTGTTTTTTTCACACCATTCTTTTCATAACTTCTTTCACATCTGTTTGAAAGCACCACGAGAACATATTTGCAGTAATAGTTATATTTTTTCTGTGTTTAAAGTTGTTTGGTGCCTAGTATTACACCTCTAATATGAAAATAAATCTAGGAAAGTTTTTTTTTTTCCT